TGATTAATTCTTTTCCCATATAAACCTACAAAGCCAAGGCAATGGACAGATTTGCACTGGGTCCAGCCAAACTTTATTCTGCAGAGAGAGGAGAGACCACAAATTATTACCTTCACACCTTTTTAGCCTGTAGGTTCTGCAGACTCCATTTATTTATCTTTATGTATTTATTAAAAATATTTTACCCTGCTTGTCTCCTTAAAAGGATCCATTGCACCTTATTAGGAGACTGTTTTCAAGAATAATGGGCATCATAGATCTGACCAAGCCTTATTCACGTCAATGGCAACTTTTATACCATTTCAACTGGATGAAGATTTCTGCATGTCTTACAACCTGACTTTGTTCATAACTTTTCCGTAATACATTAAACATATTACCCAGTCCAGAATTTTGTATATGTGGATGGATCACATGTCTCCTTTTTTTGTTGTTGTGCCATTTTTCTAAACTACCTGGAATTTAAATATGGTAGCTTTAATGCATTGATCATGATAGGAATGTGAAAACTGATGGTTGTTTTCTAAGGTGGTGGCAAATCTTAAAGGTAATCTAGATTTTGATTATTTTTTTCCTTTCAGAGACATACAGTGGCACATGATTTCTCCCGTGTGCTTTGCCTTCTTAGTTTCATATTCTGTTTTTAATTACTAAATTCACCCTATGACAGAGAACTTAGTAATCCACTGCCATGAATGGTTATCTGTTTAGCCAGTACAGTTTTATAACTTCTATACATTTCAAGTTTTTCTACATGGATAACCTTGCAATTGTGCTATCCAAGGATAATAGTTTTAAAACCACGTGTTCTTGAGCCATATCCAAGTTAATATGACTCTTCCCCGATAAGAGGCTGTGCTGTCCAATATATATTAAATGTTACTTTGGCAATCCACCCAGAGTAAAAAGGCACCATATAGCAAATCTTCCCTTCAAACTTACAAAAAAGAATTTAATTTTGCAATAACAATTGTAGTTAAATCAAGATTTTAATCTTGCATCTGCAGGTGCAGGAAGAAAAATGCAATGTCTAGTTGGACTTGACATCACTTCACTGTTTTACATATTTTTTCAAGGGTAATAAATGTGGGGGGAGGGGAATTATAAAACTATTAAGAAAGTTAAGAATTCTAGGGGCTGTGCCTTGTCCAAACCTGCCTGTAATGTCTTGTCTGCCCTTGCGAAGAGATGAATCTCCATCATTATACCATAAAGGACAATTTTCACATCATGCAAAGATTAGGCTAGGAATATGCTAATCACTTATTTTGGTATTCTCTAGGTTGTAAAAGAAGAAAATGTAAATTTGTAAAAAGCCTAATTCATCAGATGTTTATTAAACTGAGAAGACTGAATTAATGCATGGAAACATAAGAGACACTTAATCTCCAAAACTAAACCAAATTTTGCATATTAATGACTTTAATGAAAAGTCCCAGGAAAGTCCCATTTTCTCTGCATATGATTTGTGTATGTTGCATTCTTTGTTGAATTGGCAGTTGGGGCTACGGGAGAAATATTGTTATTTGGTATGCAGTTTTTGTCCTGTTGATCTCAGAGGATTAGAAGCACAAAGTGCGTAGGATAACTTTTACTGGAATAGGTTTTGTTAGCAGCAAAATATAACAATATATGTGATTCAGAATACCTGAGGCAATCATTGAAAAACATCATACCACAGATGTTTTGCACAAAACCTAGTGTATAATAAGAACTTTTGTTTAAATGTGATCCGGAATGTGATGTAAGTCTTTCTGCACAAGAGTTCCCTTTTTTATTCGGTGAATGGAACTAGTGGGAGTTGAGACGACATGTAATGTTAATAGCTCTGTTTGGACAATCATTGAACCATGTTATGTGTAGCTAAGATTGAGCACTATTTGTCCCTTTCTTCCCCTCACTGCACACCAGCGTTAGTGCAAAGATCCTGCTTTTTATTAAGCCAGATTTCCCAGCTACCACTGAAACAAAGAAATCTGCCTTAAAATCAGTGAACAAATGCAGAAAACAAGCCATGATCACTTTTTCTTACTGAAGTGAGATATCTTCACATTGAAGCCAGCCCATGACAAGGAGAAGGAGAAGAATCTCTCAGACCAGATGCTTGTTCTTACACACACAAGGATTTAGAAAGTCTCCAGGGATGATCTATAGGATATTTGAATAGTTACAATTACCTGACTATATTTCAATTAGTTTACATTTTTGTGAAAATGATAAAAATCCTAAAGCAACCATAACAACATATCTTCATTCAAACCAGTTTTGAAGTTAAAAAAAAACTTTAAAGAGTTAGTTTTTGCACAGCAACTCTTTACTCTTCCAAGCTCTGATTCGAAATGCAACATGCGGTGGCAGATCTAATTTTCAAATTCATCAGATCTCTTCTTCAGGGTGGATGATAAATCAAAAGCAGAAGATGTCTCTGTTCATTTAGTGCCATATAATTTAGGTATGAGATGGATGGACAGTGTCATCGAAGCTACCAACATGAATTTGACCAAACTCCGGGAGGCAGTGGAAGACAGGAGGGCCTGGTGTGCTCTGGCCCATGGAGTCACGAAGAGTAGGACATGACTTAACGACTAAACAACAATAATTTAGTGTCACAGAAAGAAGGCTGCTGAGACTTGAGCAGGTGCATATCCTTTCTGTTCTCTAGTACAACAACAAGAAGATTAGAAATCTCTACTTCTCTATTTAAACCAAATACCATTGGCCATAACATCCAAGCAAGAGAAAACCGTGCTTGATTTAATTTATAGCTTAATGGAACATGAGGAAGATCAAACTTATTTCTGATCTTGGTTTGTTTCAATAAATCATAGCATCAGCTGACTCTAGTTCCTAATGCAGGGGTGACAGCAAATTAATTGTACTCTGCTGACCCAAGAAAGCTGGTGGTTTTATTCTGCCCCTTATGGTTATGCCTAAGGAAGAGTGAAGGGGGTTCACAAAGAATCTCGATATAAACGGACTTGTTCCTGTAACACTAAATGTTGGTTAGTGTTCTGACTGAACCAGGCTAGGATATGAATGACCAAGTGGGTGTTTAGATCTGTAGTTTGAAACTGTTTTACTTGAGAGGAAACTGTCCTTTTAAGCTAACCTGCAGTCCGATGCACCTTCTACTCTGTTAGGAGGAAATGCCATTGGCTTCGTGGGACTTGGATATGTACTGAGTAACGGTACACTCAGGCCGAAAGAGCCCAGGTTGCTCTGAAGCAGGTATTACAAGTGGCTATTCTCCCTTTGAAATAGTAAGCACTCTGCAGAAGTCCTTGATTAAGATAGGAAGAAAAAGGAAAGACAAGTAAGATTTAAAGCAGGGGTGCGCAACTTGCAGCAGAACATATGTTGTTGGGCTCCAGCTTCCCTTCTGATTCTGTCCTATGTGGGGTCATGGAACATACAGTCCAACAGCATTCAAAGGGTCACACATTCCCCAGCCCTGATCTAAAGACAGTTTTGTGGAAGATGTTAATTTGAAGAATGGCTTTTAAAGGTCAAAGGTTTATGTATACAGAGAAGGAGTTCTGGGAATCCATAGCATAGCAAGTGAGTGTGGCGTAATAAGGATGAAAGATGGAAGGGAAGATAAAGAGACTTCAAGGAGAAGCTTCAGATTTATTTTCATTATTAAATAAGAAAAGGTCTTTGAGGGAATGTGCAGAATTTTAAAAGTAAAATGAGCAGCTGCGGTTTTTAAAGGGATGAATGAACTTTGCTCAATATTTTGAATTTTCTCCAGATAATATTTGCACTCTGAATTGGAACTCTCAAAATTCAAAATATATTTCAATTTATTTAGAATGGTTTTCAGGAACCCTATTTGATGCTAACTTATACTACTATCCTAAACACACTTTTTTTCAGAGTAAGCTGCATTGGAATCAGTGAGAATTACTTCAGAATAAATATCCTTAGGGCTCTAGTGCATGTTAGTCAATGCAACCTCTGCTTTAGCTTTTATATCAGAAGGATGGTGGGTCCTTGATTCCTTTCCCTTCCAGAAGTATATTACTTTCCTTTCTTCCTTGGTAACTTTGAGTATAAAACAAAAGTATATGCTTAACACCTGTAGAAACAGTGCTCCCTCATATAGTAAAAGACATCTCTTTGTGGTAGGGTTGATCCTTCAGCTCTGAATCTTGCATCCCAACATGCTTTGTTTTGTTGTTGATAATTGGAAAGTAAGCATGGGCTGAAATTTGCATATCTGATTTCCAAGGCACATATTCCTGAGGAAGTTGTGTTGTGGAGGTGAAAACAGACTAAAGGAAGGGGAAACACGTTCCCCTTAACATTCAGTTTGGCCTATCAGATTCTTAAAACCAACAAACACAATGGGTATTTACTACAGATGTGCCATGCAAGTTTTTTGGTCTTCAGATCCCAGAATTCTCCCAAGTACCAGGCCCACATCTAAATCGTGCTAACCTGGAAAAAGGCTGAACTAGAAGGTTCCGTGACCTAGAATAGGCTAAGTCTCCAGCCTGGCTATCTGTTAGAAAAGGTGCTTGCAGGGAACTCTTGTGAATCTAGACTTGTGAACTTCCAGTAAGCACAGAGGCAACATCCTTTTCTCACAGGCAGCTGGGCCAGAGTTCTGTTGGGCAGGGTTTACCTGTGCAAAAGGATGATGTCACTGGCTGGGGCAGGTTACCACTGATTAATGACTTCCTTCTGCAATTCTTGAATGTACACAACGTTGGCATAGAGGCCATATTTACTCCGAAATCACAAAAGGAAGCCTTTAATCAATAGTAATCAGCCAGTGGAATCAGTCCTGTTGTTCCAGCAGAGCTAGACAACAGAATTTCAGCCATTGCCCACTATTTCAGCCAAGCTTTGATGATTCCAAATCGAGAATTGGAAGGTTGCTGGGAAAACCTGAAAACAAAAGCAACAGCTAAGGGCTGGGTTACATACAGGAGTGAATAGATCTCCAGTACTATACCTTACATTATTGATTTTCTTTTCTGGTGTTATTCTTGCAGAGAGTGAATCTATCCTTCGATTTCCCATTTTATGGCCATTTCCTACGTGAAATTACTGTGGCAACTGGGGGTAAGTGGCTTTCTACCCATTCAGTCTGAATAATCTGATATGGGCTTCAGATGTTTAACATTGTATATTTGTATACACACTTCAGATTTTAAGAGATAATGTGGAGGATGGTGGCGCTTACATTAACACTTAAAAGACCCGATGTCCAGTTCATTTAGATTCCTGGGCAAGTGAAACTGTAGAATTAGGGATAACATTGATGAACAGTTAACAAGAGTGTCGTCTTGGTTCCTTTCCTTGCCCACATTGTTAAATGCATGACCAGAAGGAGGGGATTTTGCTAGCTATCATATATTTATTTAGAATATTGTAGGCCTCTTCACTCATCATCTCATACAAACAGGATTTCATTAAGCAGTCACCTGGTTGATTGGCCAATAGTTGGTTGTGGCTGGAAAATGAATGGATATTTTATCCACTACTGAAACTGTGTTTATGGGGCCAATCTAGAAATGACACGAAACCTACCATTTGCTTTGAAAGGAAAATTTTGAAAGCCGGTGTGGGGAAGCAGTTCACTTTGGGGACACAGTGCACGGGAAATGCATTGTCAAGACTTTTCACCCCACCACAACTCCAGTGAAAACACCCCACTCTGGTATGATGATTGTTATATTCCTCTGCAAGGAAAGAATATAACCCCATCTTCCCCTTGCGTTATAGCTTCCTGTCTACATCTGCTTATTAGAGCCTCGTGGTGCAGTGGTTGAACTGCTGTACTGCAGCCAAAACTGTGCTCACAACCTGGGGTTCAATCCCAGGTAGCAGCTCAAGGTTGACTCAGCCTTCTATCCTTCCGAGGTCGGTAAAATGAGTACCCAGCTTGCTGGGGAGGCAATGTGTAGCCTGCATAATTAACTTGTAAACCACCCAGAGAGTGCTTGAAGTGCTATGGCGCGGTATATAAGCAGCACGCTTTGTTTTGCTTTGCTTTATTACCAGTTTAGAAAAAAGAATGCACCAGCATCATATCTAGTTTGGCTGCAGGCAGCCGTAACTGCTTCTTTATGGCCTTCACTGTAAATGCTCCCATCATATGATTAAAATGAAACTGGCATGAACAGCTTCCTACAGCTAATGCATGCCAGGCTGCAAGCGAAAACAAGTGTGATGCCCATTGCATGTTGCCTCTTTTTAAAACACATTAATTAACTAACTGCGAGAGAAATGAAGACCGTCTCTTCAGAGTCAGCTCAGAGAATGCGTTGATGCATATATTACAAAGCCATTAAATACGCTGCACTGCACTTTTCTTGTGTGACTGTATGCATGAAGAGAGAGGCTGGAATAGACAATTCAATGCAAAGTCCCCACTCCCTCCTCTGTATTTGATAAATGAAGCACAGGTGAGCAAAGAGCTGCTTTTGGAAGAGGCAGGGAGTGGCTAACCAGTAGACAGCCAAGGAAATACCGCTAGCAGCATGATTTTAACATATTGGATGCTTAGCTGCTGGGAGGGTCGAAGTTACTATGAGAAAATGGCAGGCATAGATCTTAAGAATCTAAAGAGATAATGATACCGTGTTTCCCCAAAAAGAAGACAGGATCTTATATTAATTTTTGCTCCAAAAAAAAAAACATTAAGGCTTATTTTAAGGGGATGTTTTAATTTTTTTTCATATACAACACTCAACATTTATTCAAATACAGTCATGTCATCTTCTTCTGGTTGCTGCACAATAGTGGAGGGTGGGGTTCACTTAACTGGGGCTTATGTTTGGGACAGGGCTTATATTCCGAGCAACCTGAAAAACCGTACTAGGGCTTATTATCAGGTTAGGTCTTATTTTCACAGAAACAGAGCAATAGCTACTGTTAGATATAGCCATGAACAAGTAATCTCTTCCTCCTGAATTTTCCAAGACTTGGAAGGCTATGGGATAGATGAGACTTGTGTACCAAGATAAAGAAGCATCCTGTGGAATTTGTTTGGATTTAATGTCCCTGGGAAATGTAATCTACACACACACACACACTGGACGTGCTGATTTTTTCTCTGTTCTTCTTGATTTGTAGGAGCCACAGTTCGTATATCAGAGAAATCAAGGAAGTAGCCCTACTAATGCTGTTGCAGTAAAATAAGAAAAAAGTCTTGTAGTACTTTAAAGACTAACTTGTTTTATGTGGCCTAAGCTTTTATGGAGTCCAGCCCAGTTCATGCATCTGAATAAGTGAGCTGGAGTACATAAAAGCTGATGGCCTAATGAAATCATTTAATCTCTAAGCTGCCACAAGACCTTTTCTCATATTGGGATATGCTATTATATCAAAATATTACCACATTATGGGTTTCCCATAAGTCGGAGTGGCTTTCTGTTTTGGGGGGAATTTTTTTTTCCTGGCAGAAAGCATTTCTTGCCTGATTCCGCTGCAAAGGGAAATGGTGGTTTGGGTGAACCAAGTGGTGCTGGAGTGAATTAATGGGATGAGGAGTGGAATTGAAGTCTTTTGGCCAGTGATTAACTAAGGTGTGAATCTTGACATTCTCTTGTATTTGAGGATCTCATTTTAAGATTGTGACATGAGGTTTGCTTCTTCTTCATCAAGTAACTTTAATCAGTTAAAGTGGGTGGGTAATCTGTGATTAGGCCCTACAGCTTGGAGTGGAAAGCACAATATCCTGCCAAATTAGAGAGGAGCTGGGGGGGGGGGGTTTCTCCCCTGTTGGGACTACATTTTTTTTACAGTTTTCTATCTAAATGTGTGCAGTTTTGAAGGTTATGTTTTTTAAAAAAACAAGTAGCTGCAACTGTAGCTCAGAGCAGCCCACTCTGCAATATTAAGCTATTGTTATAGTTACCACTTTAAAAAATAACTCTTTTAGAATGTTTGCCTTTTCCAAAAATAATTAAACAAGGTATTTGCATTACTTGTGGAACAAAACACTCTATTCTTCTATCCACCACTATCATCACCCAAAATGGACAGAACATAAAGCACCCACACAAGGCACAACCCTATCCAGCACTTGAACTCTGTGATATTCCTCTTCCATTCTTTAGTCAAGCTACATTCTTGTAACAGTAACTCTTAAAAAGTTAGGATAATATCACTAAAGGAGTATTGTCATTCTTCATTCAATTGCAAGTGCAGTATCATTAAAATTGTGATATAATGTCATTTTGTTTCCTTATTGAACAAATAAATTAATTACAAAAAAACTAGCTATTTGTAATTAGTTACTTCCCAGTTCTGTAGATGTGTTATAATTTTGGACCCTCAGTTAATGAGAAAGAAAGAAAATAAAATTGGATGATTTGGACATTTAGCGTTTCCTTACCCTTAGCTCATGTTTTACCAAGGTCATTTCCTTCATGGCTGTGAAGTAAATCAGTTTCTCCTGCCATTATTAGTATAATTAATCAAATCATGTTCTTCTGGAGGTGGTTATCTGTCATCTGGGATTCCTCTGTATGCTAATTCTGGTACCTGGAAAATCACTGGAGACCTTCAAGCTCTCTGATAATAGAAAAGCTTCCTGACATATTGTTTCAGAGATTTCCATTTAGGAGAGAGAGCAATAGAACTGGCAAAGGATAGTTTGAGAGGAGGCAGCTGACAGTGTGAAGAAGAAAAGAAAAATTACCACAGGGGAACACACAAACATATAATGGTGTCTGTGTGCCTCCTGACAATAATGGATAAGGCTGCACTGAATTGTAAAACCAATCTTGCCTCAAGAGTGGGGATGGTATTTTTCAAAGGTAAGATGTTAGGAACGGCAGAGAGTTGTTTTGGATTTTGAGGTGCAATCAACATAGTGAGGAAAATATTCTGTCATCCTCCGTGATACACACCTGTGGAAACTGGGTTTCTTTGAGCTGTAGCTATCTGGACAACAATTTGCAGCAGTCAGCAGGAGTGAACAGCTTTGTATACAGTGAGCTCCAGAAGTGGAAGGTGCCTTAATAGGCTTACAAATGTGAATTGGCAGTTTCTACCCCCTCTCTCCTTCCCCCCCCCCCTTGTTCTCCTAAGCACTCTGGTGAACACTTCATTCTAGCACTGAATTAGAACCTTTTTCTTTTTTGAAGAAATGTTTTTGGAAATGCAAGTTACTTGCTTGAAGAGAACGGACACTTCCAAAAGTAGAGATGGTCACGAACCGCTGTTTGGCATGGCACCCGCACCAGTGTCCCATGGGTGCCCCATGCTCGCCCATCCACTGGCTGCAGCACTCTTCCTTCCTGTGCCTCCTCTGTGGGAGGCAGGGCAGAGAAGCCCGTGATGCTGCTAGTGAGTGGACAATTGCACAACCAATTTAGGGGAGGGAAGCACACTGCATCCGGTGAGTATAAAGAGCCTGTAGTTTATTCTTTTATGACTATCACTTAATTTGCCAGTCATAACTTGATTATTCATATAAGTTGTAGTCAATTATCAGTTAGTCAGTTCAATCTATCATAAACCTTTCATCCAGAAATAAATGTTTTAGAAGGTACACAAATGAGTTTGCAAGATGTTATTCTGTCCTAAATTAATATAGGGTAATAAAATGTCCAAAATTCAAAGCAGTGGTTTGGAGCCACTGCATTTTCTTACTTCTACTTCTTACAGTTTATTTTCTTTGGAAAACATCATGGGACTTTTTTTTTGGTTTTTGGTTTGGATTTTGAAATTGACTTGGACAGAAAGCACCCCAGTGACACAACTCAGTTGAGTGTGGAGGTATTTTTGTTTTAATCCTTGACAGCTTTTGGTGTTCAGAAAGAAACTTCTGTAAAGGCATTTAAGTATAAGAGCAGCTCTGGACCTATTTGTCATGGAAAAATTCAATTCTGGTACTTTACGTTGGCTGGGTCAAAAAAGTATCCCAGTGGCAGAAGTTATCCAGGGGTGTTGGATATTCTTTGTTCCAAATGCTTTTCAATGGAAAGGAGGGACAGAAAGTTCTAAACAGTAGAAGGCTTAAAGCTGGGGATACTGTCTACCGTTGCACAGGTCCAAGGATCACACTGTACCTCTAACCTCTGTGTCAGTTATGGATTGAAAAGTAGATT